CTCTCCCTAGTCCAAAGCAAGAATGTCCCGCATACTTCGAAGCATTTTCTTTGTCACTTTTGGCCCAAATGACTATCCGTCTTCTTCAAAGCCCATCAAGATGCTCCTGACAGATTGCCTCTGAGAGAACCTTTGAGGCCTTTCCTCTTATTGCAGACTTCCAGTGTCCCCCAATTCTTGAGTAACATTCCTGGGAGGCTTCTAGAGGCAGATCCCAAGTTGATACATAAGAAACTCTGGGTTACAGAAAACTGTATATGTTAGTTTACAGTTTTAGAGAGAAACTCTTGAAAGCAGTAAAACAAACAAAGAGGATAGGATGAATAACACTCTTGATAAGTCTGCAAAGGTGGAAGTGGGGATCCAGTAGTTTCTTGACCCTGAATTCTTCAAGCATCTGCCCAAAGAGTTCAGCCTCATATCGCGATTCCCACACGTTAGGCTAGAAGAGGAATCCAAGAACCTGCTGCTGCTCTGGGTCCCCTGATCCTTGCAAAGTCTGGGCCGAGGCTGAATCCCCGCACAATCAGTGGCCCACCACTTCTGAGCTGCAAGGCCAGAAAGAAGGTTGGAGAATCTACTCTGCGTGTTGTTGACTCAGGTCTGGGGTTATTTGGGGCAGCGGATCCCAGCAGGTTTCTGGGTAGTTCTAACCGTAAATGCAACCACCAGCCCCAGCTTGGCCTCCTTCTTTCTCAAGGCCAGAGATGTGCGCTTTTCCCTTCTACCTCCCCTCTATACCCCCCTCCCCATAAAGCATTTAGCATTTAGTAGAGTGGGGGTGGGGAACTGGAGACCACCAGCCTGGATCTTCAAGTTCAATGGCAAAGTCCCTAACCCCCACAGACTAGGCGCCCGCAGTTGTTGCTTTCCTCGTCCTATAATTCTGGGGGCTACTGCATTCTTTTGCTGCCCCTCCTGTGTCAGAGGCAATTTAGGAGAGGCTAAGGGTAATGGTGGCATTCTTTCTTTCCCGGTCGCAGACCACTCCGTGCCCTTCCCCCATCCCCCATAACTAGTAGTCATGAAAGGAAGGCAGGCTGGCATCTGTTCCCCATTGGATGTTTTAAATCTCTCTTCCAGCCCCGGCCAGAGCCGGGAGGAGGGAAGATGCCCCGCGCTTGGGCAGGAGGAGGTGGGAGGCTCCTGGGTTTTCCTTCTTCTTCCCCCGAGAGAGAATGTTCAGGTGGGTGCGCATGTGGTATAAATGCCTTTCAAAAACAACTGAAACCTCTTCCCTTCGGCTCTTCCACTGCAGCCGCCTGGGCGCTTTATTGGAAGTTGACGGTAACGAGTTCATCTATTTAATTCGAGATTGTAGCTCTGGGGTTTCTATTAGATAGGACTGGGTTGGGGAGGGGGCGCGGTTTCCCCCGAAAGAAACCTAATTAAAGTGCAGCACTTAGAACCTTGAATGAAGAGGAGGAGGGGAGCCGGGAAACCCCCGCTCCGAGTTGGGGGAGGGGAACCGGTAACCCTTCCGAGATGGGGGTGGAGGGCTACATGCTAGAGCTATCTTTGAGCAATCCCCTGTAGTAGAATGTTTCAGGAGAGGTAAAATACTTTTTCATCCCGCTGCAAACCTACCAACGTTCTCCTACCTCCCCAACCCCCCGGAAGTGTTTGCTAGCAGGAGTAAAAGGCCGGAACTTGAAAGTCTGGGGGTCACCCTTCGCTTTGCTGTGGCTGGGACCTAGATTCAAAAGAGCTTCCGGAAATCCTGTCAACACACTCGCCACAACCCACTCATCAGACCTCTAGAGGCCTAATACAGTCCACCTGCTTAGTCGTTAAACCTGATATTGGTACTGGGGACGGTGTAGACAAAAAAAGGTACATTCGAATCCAATTTCGTTGCTGGCTAAAACTCTGAGCTGGAAGAACTAATATGGGTCGGAGGAAAGGGAAGAGTAACAGAACGGCTCGGAATAAAATTATACCTTATTAATGAAAAAGCTCCCCGGAATTACTTTCCGGAATAGATGTGTGTTCAGGCAATTGTTTATTCTTCGATAGTGTTGTCTGAAGTTGTGGTCACACATTTTCCTCAGTTGTTTTAAGAAAGGAAGGAAGGAAGGAAGGAAGGAAGGAAGGAAGGAAGGAAGGAAGGAAGGAAGGAAGGACAGAAAAGAAATCCCTGTAGCTTCAGGTATCTCTTACTGAAAAGGAAATCGCAGCAGGTGAGTCAGGGTAGACACGGGCATTTTGTTGTATTTTACATATAAAGAAGTAAGCAATGTCGAGGTGGCTGGGTCGGGAATAGTTCGCTGTGTAAAATGCATGGGGGGGGGGGGATGCGCTTGGGAAAAGAGTTCCCTATGCTTTAATACAAAATGAAATTAATTTTTTTTCTTCGTTTAGGTCCCATACAAATACGAAAGAAAAAAAGTAGAAGCCCCGTCTTGAGTGGTTCTGCTTAGGGAGATTAATTTATTATTCTGGTGGAACCAAGAAATGGCTAGAAGGCTGCCGGCACCGCGGCCTTGCACTCCAGTTCTTAGTGCCTGCTTCTTCTCCTTCCTTCCTCTCCTCCTCCGGGGCTTATCCGAAGCTAGACTGACATATCTGATGGAATTCCTGGCGCTTTCGAGTCCTGTAGCTTTCACATTCCCAGAACCTTCCAAACCCGAAGGCCAGGAGGTCCCAGGCTGTTGCAAGCCCGAAGCTGGGGTGTGGAGGGACGACGGGGAGTAATGGAGGGAAGCTATGGGCGGCGGCCTGGTTTCCTGAAATGGCAATTGTCTACCGGAAGGGGGAGCGCTTGTCTTCTTAATAGTTCAAAATGTTGATGGCAGAATAAATCTCTAAGACCCCAAAATCTTTTGTCTGTTCTGAAATTAGTACCAATGAAAAGTAGAGGCGCCCTGGAATTTTAAGCCCTTTAGAGCAGAATGGTAAATTTAGAGCCTGGGAGTCCAGAACTTTCACCTGCACAGACCTGTCTCTATTTGGGCCATCTGTTCATTGAGATGACAATCTTGTGGCTTTTCCCCTTACCTAAGTGGGGACCACACTCCACGGTGCACCTACTCACTTGCCTCACAGGCTTCCCACATTCCTATCTACGCTGAGACCTCACACAATACTCAGGTCTGGGATGCTAGGGACAAGAGTAAGAACTTCTTTTTTTTTTTTTTTTTTTTTTTTTTGGTTTTTCGAGACAGGGTTTCTCTGTGTAGCCCTGGCTGTCCTGGAACTCACTCTGTAGACCAGGCTAGCCTCGAACTCAGAAATCCACCTGCCTCTGCCTCCCAAGTGCTGGGATTAAAGGCATGCGCCACAACTGCCCGGCTTGAGTAAGAACTTCTTATTTCAAAAGTTACTCCAAAGTGGCTTGGTGTGAGGAATGTGGAAAGCAGAGATTGACCTCCCAAGCAGGATTCATGACCCTGGGGGCTTGGGGCTTAGGCTGGACCATGGGGGTGGGGGGTGATAGATAGAAATTTCCAAGCACAACAGATCTTGGTCTGGATCTCAGTCTGGGTGTCTGAGGGGCACACACATTCTGTTACATAGGAAGTAGAGGTGGTGTCCCTTTCCTTCCTTTCCCCAAGACTTGGCTTTGTAAATTAATAATAATAAGACATGGTTTCATCCATAGTTCAGATTGGCCTGGACCTTAAAATGTAGCCCCACTGGCCTCAACTTAAACTTGCTGCAATTCTCCTGCCTCAGCATCCCAAGACTGGACTTAGAGGCATGCATCACCACATCTAATTGGTCCTGTTTGGTAAACATATCTAGAAGGATATGAGCAGCTCACCCCAACCTCCACCCCCCCCATCCCACTCACTCATTCCTGGGAGAGGAGCCAGGGCTGGAATCCCACCAGACCACTGGCGGCTATACTAGAATCCCTTGGCTGCAGTGGCTTACTCTTGGTTTCTTGGAGACTCATAAACCCTTTTTAGCAAGGAAAAACTCAAATACATTGGCCACTACCTACCACTAAATGGCTACTCAACTCAAGACAGCCACTTGAGTCCTGAGATATCTCTGGACTTCAGGCATAGTGCTCCATCGCAGAGACCCCACAAGCAGTCCAAGGTTTAGAATGACTGACGTAACCTTGCTGGCTCTGTTCAACAGGGTCCTATGGTTCTAGCCCACAGTGGGTCCAAGTGCATCAGAGAATGATGTGTCTATCCCATGGTGCCGCTTCTGCAAACTGCCATTCTCCTCTGAGTTTTCCAGGATTTTGTATTATGTCCTACCTTGTGAGGAAGAAGAGAAAAAAGTTGGTGCCACTAGGTGCCTTTTATTCGGGGACCCAGATAGGGAAAGAGGAAAGAAGTCTGAGGCCACCTTGGCATTGGGTGCCAGGAATTCCTTCATCCTAATCCTAGATCTCTTCCCTTTTTGCAGTTGCCTTCATTTACATAAAAATGCAATAAGAACAATAAAAAGACATCTCTTCTCCCAGATCTTTGGGGAGCAAAGGGGCCATTTTCTGGTTTCCCAAACTCTAGTATGTTTTCAAAAGCCAACCACTGGGCCTGGAAGGAGTCCTGACAAGGCCACATGTGGTTACTGTATGTAGCTCCTAAATGCCTAACCCAATTGTGTCAGAACAACTAGGATAGCCCAAATCGATCATTTGTCAAGAGAAGCAGAGTTTAAGAAAGTGCCCAAGTAATTGTTTTGCCAAGTCTGTAAGTCCTTCCTTGGTGTTCACTGCCCGGTGGTCCTAATCCAATCAGGCCACTGATCACATTTATCACATTTCACTATAAAAATCTCAGCATTTGGGATGGGGGCTTCCCACCGCATATAGCCTAGGAGGTTGTCTGGGAGGAGGGAGATCACAGGAGAAGGTTGGGCAGGGAGGAGGGAGAAGCACCCACTAACATGGTCTGTCCTGCCCTGGTATCATCTCAGAAAAATACGAGGTGGGCATGGGCACCTTAGAAGGGTGAGTCTACCTTTGTCCAACCCACCCCATTCTCTTCCCCTTCGACCACTAGAAAGGGGGATACACTGGGGGTACATGGAAAGGGATCTGAGAGGAAACTGTCCTACAAGAAGATCTTCTCCCAAATTTATTCACAATCAGCTCAACTCATGAAAGCGATTTCTAAGTGCTCAACAGAGCTCTAGATAGAAAATATGAGGCTAATTATCATGACAACTAGTACTGGTTATGAGATTATCACCACCGTCGGGATGAATGCTTATGACTGATACACATTCTTCAGAACCGGGATGGAGGGGACGGTAATCCTCCCAGGCCTGGCACATGCAGGATAGCCCCGGAGGAACAGTTCAGAACTCAGTAGCCTGCTAAAGATGTCATCTCTTGGGGTCCCTCAGCAGAGTCCTCTGCCAGTCCTGGTCCTGGCAGGCTCCCAATTCTCCAGGACGAGCCCTCTTTCCCCGCCCATCCCCTCTGGTGCTCACGGGGTAGTGCTGGTCTTGACCTTGGCAAGAACCTTCTTCTCCTTGACCCGGCGGTTCTGAAACCAGATGGTAATCTGGCGTTCAGAGAGGCTGGTGGCTGCCGAGATCTTGCGCCTCTTGTCCTTAGTGATAAACTTGTTGGCCGCATACTCCCGCTCCAGCTCCCGCAACTGCCCCTTGCTATAGGGAATGCGTTTTTTGCGGCCGCGGCGGAAGGCACAGCCGTCGGGAGGAGGGTGCTGGACACTGGGCTCTGTGTGGTGGAAAAAGAGAAGGAAGAAAAGGCATCTCAGTCCTTTCTCTAGTGCCGAGCGCAGACCCAGGCCCTGCAAGCCTCAGGGCTACGTCATCCTGCAGGCGCTTCCTGATCATCCTATGTGTGGGCCCGGTTCCCTCAAAGCACACAGACACGCTAGATTCTGCCGGATTCTCTGATTGCCACTTACTCAGCCTCTACTTCTGCTGGCCACCCCCACCATCACTGACCTCACATCAGGAGTCTGCAAACACACCCACCCTGTCAGGTTTTTGTCCACAATCACACAATCCACTTTCACATGTGTGTTCAGACTCAGCCACTCCTCCAAATTGGCAAATTATGTACATGAGAAAACAGGGTTACGTTCCCCACCCGACACACACACAAACCACGCACACACGTACACGCATGAACACACCCTTCAATACACCCTCAGTCAAAAAAAAACCCCTAAATTTTCCTTTCAAAATTGATCTTTAAAAGGAAGGGGTTGTATTCTCGAGGAAACTCCCAACATTTCCGATCCCACCCCTCAATGCCACCCTCAAAAACCACTGGATTATGTCATTTGTGGCCTTTGGGCAGAATTAATCTGGAGCTGTGCTGGGTAGGGACACTTTGGCCCCAATCAACAGCAGAGATCCAAGGTTCTCCCAGTTTATGGAAAGGCTGGTCTCAGAGCCTACTGGAGAAGTCAGGAAGGCTGGCTGCCCTCAAGTTTCTGCTAGCACCCTGCTGAAGCCCCTTATTCTGACCCCCTGAGGCCTCCATCAGGGCCCTCTAGTTGCCTGGACCCTCCGTCAAAGTCCTAGTAAGTAACCAAGGAACCCCAGGCTCCTCCTCATCTGCCACAAGTCTCCTTTCCTCTCCTCTTCCTCCTTCCAGGCAAGTGCCAGCGTAGCCCATGCTGAGCCAAGGGGAGCCAAAGTAAAAGTTACCTGCAAATGCCGCTTTCCAGAATGGACCTGGTGGGTTCTGTTCACCTTGGCAACACATCTGGCTGTTCCAGCCACCGGCCAGGGCCCAAGGCTGGTAACTGTCCATGGGAAGCAGAGAGTCGTGGCGAGGCTCCCCGGGGGCTCCCAGGGTCTGCACCACAGACACATCCAGGTAACTAGCCATAGGCTGGTATGGTCCCGGGTAGCCCGGATAGAAGGCAAACTCGGTGGGACGGCTGGGATACTCCTCCCCAGGTGCAGGAGTTTCCGAAGGGTAGGTAGCCAGGGTGGCCGCCTGGGCACAAGGTTTCAGTGAGCTCCTGGATACTCGGCAAGAGTAGTACCCGCCTCCAAAGTAGCCATAAGGCACAGGAGCTGGAGATGCCCCCTGGGGCACCCCAGGACAAGGGTGGCACTGCTTCGGTGGCTCTGCAGAGCCTGGCAGATCCAGGGGGGCATAGTTGACAGTCGGCATCAGCGTTGGAGCCGCAGGATGGCTAGCCAGTGGAGAGGAGTGGGCGACTAGATTACGACCCCCTCCGGCTCCCAGCAAGCCTTCAATATCCTTGGCCCCGTCCAAGGTGGCATAATTGCCGGGCTCCATGGGGCCAATGATCGGCTCATGGGGAGCCGAGGGTGGGGGGTTCTAGGGAGACAGCAAGCTCTCTCTCCCCACCCAGGCCCAGGGAATCCTAAGCGTTTTAAATCGCTCCCAGCTCGCACGGCGCCTGCATTCGCCTGGCTGGGCTGTCTTGACGCAAGAGACGCAAGAGCCCGGGCAGGAGCGCTGATTGGCTGTGGCCTGGGGGAGAGAAGCTCATAAAATCCACCGCAGAAATTGCAGGGGGAGAAGGGACCCGGAGCCCGGCTCCGCCTCCTCTCTTCTCTACTCTCCCTCTCCGCCTGTCTCTGTCTCTTTCTGTATGCGTGTCTCTGTCTTTCTCTCTGTGTGTACTGTGTCTCTGTCTTTATTATGTATCTCTGCTTCTGTCTGCTGTCTCTGTGTTCTCTCTCTCTCTCTCTCTCTCTCTCTCTCTCTCTCTCTCTCTCTCTCTCTCTCTCTCTCTCTCTCTGCCTGGCTCTCTCTGTCTTCTGCGCTTTGGAAGGTTTAACGAGAGAATAAAAAGCTCTCCCAATAAAGTGTCCATCTCCTGGGGGTGAGGGGAGTCGGGGGAAGGGCTGGGAGGCCACTTTGGGCTGCCTCAAAGGAGAACCCGGGAATGCTTCTGAGGTGGGAATGAGAACTGTAGGCATCAGGAAGCTCTTTGCTTGGCGTCTGGGTACTAGCGACCCTAGCTCATTGTAGATACCCTTCCTGTCCAGAATACACTGCGCCCAGGGAAGTGCCTTCGACGTCCGTCCCCCAAGGACCCTGCCTAGTCACAACACTCAAAAGCCCTGGAGGCCCCAATCGGGGTGAGGCGGAGCCAAGGGGCGGGGGACACGAAGGAGCGCTGAAAACGTGCAGTGCTTGGCCCAGGGAACGCAATGTCCGGACCTGAAGGGGAAACGGAGCCTCTATATGTCTGGGAAGGGGGTCTGGATTTCCGTTTAAGGGTGGAGAAAGAGACCACAGGCGCACGGGGCTTTACTTGAAGGAATAGACTCGGTGTGGAAAAGAGGAAGGCTAGGGGGAGAGGAGAGGGAGAGAGGGAGAGATTGACACATCGCAAATGGAAAAGGGGGGTCAAGATTGTATCCCCTTTTCTGGAATCTGCAGTCTGGGGAAGCCAAGGCTGGTTAAGTGGCCATGAATCACCTGTGGGGCTACTGGGTCCCAAGAATGCAGGAGTTTGCTCAGTGTGGGGCCTTTCTGCTCTTTGGTGCCATTCTATAGGCTGGAAAGTCCTGGAAACCGACCCTGGCCCCAGCACACTTCCACACAATTGAGGAACTAGAAAGCTCAGGACCCCCTAGCTGCCTCCTGTGGGCTTTAAATTTCCTTGGAAGTTAAAGAGGAGGAGGAGAGAGTGAAAGGCCCCAACCGCTGGAATTGTCCGAGGCCCTCTGTTGGGGCCTATTGTGCTGTAGATTCAAATGACTTGTTTTACAAATCTGCCTTTAAAGATTCCCCCCTCATATCACTTCCACATGACGTCTTTTTGTGTTTTCTAGTTCTCTAAAACTCTTAGGTTTCCCTTCACCCTGGCAGAAAATTTGAACTTTTCTATTCTATACCGAGGGTTTGTTTGTAATAAAGAACGGAACCCCTTGAGCTCTGAATGGGCTTAGCCAAAGTCTGGACTTGAACTTGACAGGCTTTGTGGGAAAGGGCCTCCACCCCGGAAAGGCAGAACTGAGGCCTGCAGTATACTGCGCATCTCTCCCAACAGACATTGGTAATAATTGACACTAAGCACAAACATCTCCACCGATTTTTACCACATTTGAAAACATGGAGAGAGAAGAAAAGAAAGAAAGAAAGAAAGAAAGAAAGAAAGAAAGAAAGAAAGAAAGAAAGAAAGAGGAAGGTGTCTGTTCAGGCTTCCCAGAGCCCCATCAAGGTTGTTGTTCACCCAATCAGGAAGGGCAGAAATACCAGGATTTCCCCCTAAAGACTGAGAACTTCTCTGTTTTTAGCTTTTGGTAGACAGAGATACCTGTATGCTGGGATGTAGGCGATATGGTGGCATTCACCTTTGATTCCAGGACCAGGGAGGCAGAGAAAGGCCTTTTGAGACCTAGCCTGTTCTACAGAAAGAGTTTCAGGACAGCCAGGGCTACACAGAGAAACCCTGTCTTTGGTGGGGAGGGAAGATGTGAGTAAGTTCATTACTGATACAGCATGAGTGGCCTTGAAATTAAAAAAAAAAAACTCAAAATCACACACACACACACACACACACACAAAACAAACTCAAAATCACTTGACAAAACAACACTTCTGGACATAAAGGAAATTTTATGTCCACCATGGGGTGTGCTCTAGTAATTTCTCTTGTAGATCATTGAAACTACATTGAGGTCCAAAAGATTTGCATGGCCCCTGGAATGTATGACATGCAAATTCCCACAGCATTTTATACCACAGACTGGCCTCAAACTCCCTTTGTAGATGAAGATATCATTGAAATTCTGATCTTCCTGCATCTCCCTCCCAAGTGCTGCTGGCGTGAGAGGAGCAACGTGGTCCTTCTTTTTTTTTTTTTTTCTTTTCCTCAGTATTCAGAATTGAACCCAGAGCATTACACATGCTAGATAAGCATTCTACCAATGAGCTATGTCCCCGCTGGCTACCACTTTTAGAAAGAAAAAGAGAGTAATCGTGGTGCCATGCACCGAGTCTGCTGAAGTATTATCCATGGACGATCAAAACTGGAAGCAAGTCAGATTCTAGAGAGTGGGATAAGCAAAGGAATCAAGCTGGATCCCATCGTGATTAAAAACCAGCAAACCACTGCTAAATTCCACAAGAGTGAGCTATGCTTATCTGCTGGTAAAAGAAGCCAGGCATAAAAGACTAAGTTTGTATGATTCCATGTCTACATAGTTCAAAAACTTTTGGATAGTCAAAAATAGAAACGAGCCAAAGGAAAGGGAGGTAATAAAGAGACTTTCTAAGGCCCTAGAAATGTTATCTCAACGTGGACTCTGGTTATGTGGGTGTATTCAATTTGTTAAGACCCTGTATGCTCAGGATTCCTGCATTGTCCCCCCCCCCCCAGTTCTGTCTCAATGTAGAAAGGACAATAATTAAACAACAACAACAATTTTCTATTGGCGGTCGCCTACATTCTCAGTGAGGCTCTGGGTTCTATTTATAACATACTGAAAGAAAAAAAACAGCAGCTATGGTACAACTGAGCTTTTTGGAGGGTAAAATGCTTAGACAAACATGCACAGGGGTAAGCCTGCATAGACTCCTTACCGAATGCATGACTTAAATTTTGACACTCACCAGCTAAGCAATTTCCTCGGGATCAGACATTTTTCAACATAAGTAATACTATGAATTTGGTTTTGTTCCCTCAGTAATTTATTCGGCGTGTATTCTATCCCAGGGCACAGCTCTAGGTATTACATTTATAAGCATGCGAGCTAGGCTCCTTATTACCTTTGCACGTCCATATATGTGAGTGTATCTGTTGTGTGACTTGCCCCAGATCTCAACTGGACTCTAAAACGGATAAGCCTCCTTTTCTAAAATGATGCCAATGATTCTTACCTTACTGCAATGCTAGGACGATTTCAGGAGATTTTTGCATATGAAAGCATTTTACAAACTGAACAAATGCGACTTCATTTTTGCGTTCCTGTGTGTGTTTACGTGGATAATGAAATTATTTGCCTTTATTTAAAAAGAAGAACTGCCCTAGAACATGTGGATCCCTTCTCCCTACCGCAGGAACCGGGGTCCCACACAGAAACTGAGACTCCTCCCTGGGACTCTGCAGGAGCTCAGCTCCCAAACCCCTTCCCCACCCGTGGTGCTCTGGTCTCCCCAGTAGCGTCCCCAGTCTTTTCTCCAGATTCACGGAATTCTTTGTGTCCCGCTGGGAACCTGCTGTTAGACCCACCGGGAGGAGTCTGTAGCCTTAGAGCCCCCTTTACTGACCCAGCCAAATGCACAGAAAGCCTCAGCATGCTCCTTTACATACCGGCCAGACACTTCCAGGAAGGTCAAGGCCAAGTTGAAAGTTAAGAGTCTGTTTACCTCCCTGGATCCCATTCAGCGCAGCCCTGCAGACCGCCTATGACCTTTACAGCTTTGCCTTTGAGCGAGGCCGACCCGCCCCCAGGGGTTCCGGCCACGGGGACTTGGCACCTCGGTGTCAGCTCCCGCCCCAACTCGGGCTCAGGAGGGAGGGGGAAGATGAGCCCACCCGTTTCACTTAGAGGATTTGTTACATTTTACTTTATTTTATTGTAAAGTGAGAACTCTTTCTTTATCCTAAGTGAAACAGTGAGTGTATGTCGTGGCAATGATGGCGGCCCTCAGGTCGGTGGTGACGAATAATGATTTATTCACAGCGAGGCTGGGGACACTTCCTTCTCCGAAAAAAGACCGAGGTTTGCCGGACCCACTGGACTGCATGCGCCCGCCTGAACATCGTGTGGTCGCTCCGCTTCTCCTGGCTTCCTGAGAATGACTTGATCTTGGTGGTGTTTTGCTTTCTTTCCTCTTTTCTCCAGACTATGTTTTCCCTGTCTTTAGTCTTCCGTGAGCTTTCTCCCTCTTTTACGTTTGAGTTTCTTCTTCTGTCTTCCCGTCAATTTTAGATATCTTGACTGCATATTCTTCTCTCCGTGTTTCTTTCTTTTTCTCTTTATTGCTTGCATTCTAGTGCCCGTGTCTTTGAATCTATTCTTTTTTCCTTTTTGTTTCCCTTCTTGTTTGACACTTGCTCTGTTATTTCTTTTGTTCTTTTCGCCATCGTTTTGTATTTCTCTCTTTCTCCTTTCTTCTGTTTCATGTTACTCCTTTTCTCCCAAACACACACATTTTTCCCCTTCTGCCCTCTTGCACAGTTTCTTATTATTCTTTGCTGAGATCTGGAAAGGCCTGTTGTACTGTGGTGGCTGGAGCCTGTGATTGGAAAAGGGCTGTCAGCCAGGGCAGAGAAGACCTGGTTACTAGCCTGGGGGGCCCTGTGTGGGGCTAAAGCATCTCTCCCATGGCTGCCTTAAAATGAAGTCGGTCCAGGTCTACTCTGTAAGCCTTAGAGGAAAATCTTTTTAGATAAACTGACATTGGGATCCGAGAGCCACAACTGCCCATGGGGACAGAGGCAT